TCACATTTATCTCAAAATTTAGTCTAGTAAACCATCTTTAGAGTTCTAACAAAAAAATTTCCTTGTGCAATTTTGCTGATAATATTACTCTTCTTAACCTTGATCTAAACTTTAACCCAAATTTAAACGAAGCCCAACAGCATTTGTTTCCGATCTTCACGTGACAGTAAAATCGATACTACGCCGTCAAATTCATTTATCAAGTGTTTGAATTATTTACTTAATATAACCAAATCAATAACCGTTATACTTAAAATACGTTATTTTCGAATTATCGTTATCGCTACACTTAAGTTACTAATTAAGCGACCCCTTGTTAAATTATTACATTATTTACGTACGTAACACTTAAATTGATCCATTAAATTAAATTAATTAGCACCTGTGGTGTTTTACACTTATGAATACATTATCTCAAATAAACTGCAAATTAATCAGTGTAGGGTGTTCAAAGTAAGAATGTTCTACGCCCCCAAAAAGCCCTTATCAATCTTAATTCTAACCCTAAATACTAACACTAACGTGAAAAATTTTGTGTTGAAAATTTTATATACAAAACTTATAAATCTTAGAAAAATTATAAAAACATATAAGCTGAATAACATCGACAGAAATCCTAGCATCGCCCATAAAAAAAAATACAGCTGACATTACTTGTAAATAAAATATATATTGTATACAATATATAATGATAAGTTGAGTAATTACGTAAATCAAGAATCATGTGATATATACAAAATACTATATATACAATTGAAGGTTTGACTCCAGCTGTATTTTTTTATGGCAATACTAGGACTGTTCGACATCGACGGTCCCTCCTGTTAACTTATAGTGATTAATTATCAGATCCTGATTAAACCAACACGTGTAATAGTTATACCCTGGGCAGTTGGTATAAATAGAATTTTCATGTGCTTATTTTTAGAGAACTTTTATTTTACGCGTTGCTTTTGATAAGATTAAATAGGATAATACTCAATTACCCAAATTAAATAGATATATGTCTAGTAGAAATAAGTACATGAAAAAGTTACATAGATGGGGGTTGGCCAAGGGATAATTATAGTTATATGCATAAAACATTACAAAAATATGTATTCGATAATTCTAGTTAGATTAAAATTTTGTATTATTGGATTACTCAGCTTTATTAATTAATCGTTAATATCAATCACACTTTTAGCGATTTGAATTTGAATGAAATCAGTAAGATTCTGAGAATTCTAGTTAGAATCAACCAAATTAGAACTTTATAAGTATCATTGGTTTGCTCAGATCTATCAATTAATTGATAATATCAGCGATTTTCATTTGAATGATTTCTAATTTTCCGTCGATGATATCATTTCATAGTTCATATGTATAACCAAAAGTAAATTAGGGTTTGTATTTCCTTTGGCATTGATAAATGCTATAAATTGCCATGCCTCACGAATCAGAGTATCGAAAAAAAAAATATTATTGTGATTAAAATTCTCTATATAAAATTCATATAGCCTGCAATTCAAACAAAAATGTTTGGCCAATTTCAAAGTTTATTAGAAGCTTTTCAGCATCAAGTATCAACTAGGCCAAAAGACAAAGTTCTTTTGATCCCCAATGGTACAAAATATGATGAAATTAATTTCCAAGACCTCGATATTATTATCAATAAATACGCTAATTATTGGAATAAACAATTGGTGAATGAAAATTTGGAAAAAAATAGCGTGATTGGCTATTTGGCACATAGTAGTCCTGAATATTTGTTCAACATTATGGCCTTATGGAAGCTAGACTTTCAAATCTTAACCCTTAGTCCCCGAAATTCTGAACCTGCTTTAATTTATTTACTTCAAGAAGCTAAATCGCGCATTCTTATTTATGATCCTCAACTTTCAAAAATTTCGGTGAATGTGCAAAATGAAATCAATTCTCAACGTTCACAATCGTTCAACATTTTTCAACTTCCTAAAAGATTAAAAGATGAAAAGATTGACTATTTTGCACCTGTTCTAAAATTAGATGAAAATCCTTATGAAAAAATTATTGCAATTTTTCATAGTTCCGGTTCAACGTCATTTCCTAAATTAGTTCCTCTCTCCAATCGTTATGCATTAAAGGCAGCCGAATCAAATCATACTGAGGTTATTTTATCAACACCTCCATTATTTCATATTTATGGATTTATTGTCATATTAAAATCTATCTTAGGTTCTGGTTCGGCACACGCATTTCCAATTGTTGCAGGATCAATTCCTTTAGCCAATGAAGTTTTACATAGTTTAAAACAATCTAATGCTAAAATTCTTTACACTTTACCTACTACCCTTGAACAAATTTATAACAATTATTCGGATGAAATTAAACTATTATTAAATTTAAAATCCATATTTTATGGTGGTGCAGCATTGTTACCTCAAGTAGGCGAACAACTTGTTAAATCTGGCGTCAAAATTCGAAATGCTTATGGTACGACTGAAATAGGTCCTTTTATGTCGACTCCAGAAAATTTGCCATCTGATATTCCATGGAATGCAATGGAATTATTAGTTCCTGAAAGTAACATAAAATGGATAGAAAGAAATGATATCCTTGATGGTGCAAAAGAATTAGCTATACAAAAAAGTTCTCCAAATTTTGCAAGTATTAGAGGAAATACAGATAATGGTGTTTATAGTATAGGTGATCTTTTTCTTGAAACTCCAAAAGGCTCTGGCTTATATATTTTACTTGGTCGAGTTGATGACACACTTATTCATACC